TTTGTGGCGCAGGGGCTGCAACCAACCAAGATAAGTCATACCTCTTTGCGCAAGATTGTAAGAGCTTCCCCAACATATGGTACTGACTCATCGGGAGCGAATTCTCTCACTGTCTCAACATCGCCAGCTGTCCTTATCGGGTCAAATATGACAGGACCCTTACCTTTCACAATGTCAAAAGGTATGTTCATGCCAGACAGAGGGGTCAGAATATCAGAGAACAATATGACCTGAAAGCAAAAAACAATAGCTATGATTAGTAACTAGATAGTTAAAATTGGATTAAGAACCACATATTAAAAAAATAAAAAATAAAAGCTCATTCTAAAAATAGGTTTGTCTAATGTATCTTACGCCATCCGGTTTAAATACTTCCCAAGGCTGAAGAGAAATTTCCACCACAAGATCAACATTTTCTGATCTTTCACGGAAAGATGGGTACTTCTCGCAGAGGATTTGATAACTCTATCAAAATCAGTTAATAAACAGAAAGTTCAGTAAACAAATTTAAACAACAAACAAACATGAATATGCATGACATGAACTAACTTAATGTTCACAAGTTGAGATGAACAAAGTGTTCTTATAATCAGTACTTCATGAAACATTCAAATTTAACGGAAACATTTGACACCAAAACCAGCTAGCAACTTATTGGCGATGACTGAATGTAGTCAAAAACGACAAATAGTTAAATATGTCCAATAAAACCTGCCTTCATGTACCTCCCTGCTTGTCTCATAAGCCAAACTGGGGGTCTCTCAACTTCTTTCCCTCGGGCGGCATTGAGCAGCAATGGCTCAGTAGCATTTACAGTTTTAGGCTCGGCAATAGCTCCTGAGGCACAAAAAGAAAAATAAAACAAACAAACTTTTGCGTAAGGCAAGCTTGGTTTCAAGCAACAAACTAATAAGAAAATTTATTATAATCCGCAAATCCAGAATATCAAGTAAACCCTCATCAGCAAGCATTCAACTTATCAATAGTCAAAAGAATGGAAATGGTGAACAGAATCTATTTGATCTCCCCTTAGACTGAATGACCTTGCTCAAAAGAGTTGGAGTAAGAGAATAAAGAGTAAATTGCTGCAGATCAATGGATAACATGACTTGTGAAGGCAATCACTATAAAGAAAAATATGAACCCCCAACCCACAAAAGCTAAACAGATAGTTAGGCCAATTGAAGGCATTCTATCAAACACACTCAGAGCATGACTTCAGCCATTCATATCATCATGCACTTAGTTACCACTCATCAACCCGTTCCCATTGAAATCAAATTGTCAACTGCCATATTTTATAATAAAGCATTTCATTAGCACACACGCACAAAGGTAAATTCATCAAAGACAAAAGAAATTTCAGGGGTTCGACATCATTCATAAATGCATATGAAAACATAAGTAAGTATATCAGATTAAACCCCCAAAAAAACAAATAGCGTTATACCTCCAAGAGAGCAAAAGAATCTGGGCTTGTGATTAGAGAGAGAAGTCACGTTCAATTTAGCAGGGATTGATGAAACCGAGCTGCAATAAAAGCATGTCATCTTCCTCCTTTTTCTCTCTTTTTTAGCCCAGCACACCTACCTCTGAGAAACACCTCCAATCAACAGTCAGTCTATTGTATGGAGGGTGAAAATGGAAAATGTGGATGATGTTGGGCAGGAAACGAAGAAGAAGAAGAAGATAAGGGGAGGAAATCTGGAAATCTCATCTGATTTACTCAACGCATCTTCTGGTCCCAATCCACAGGCCCCATCATCATCTCTCTCATTTCCTCGATGCCATTTCTTATTTATGCAATTTCTACATAAATAAATTTATATATAATATACAAAGATTTGATTGTTTTTTAAATACTTACTATTTCTTTAAAAAAAATCTATTTGTTATTTTGGAAAATTAATCGAACAATTTATGATATACTAGTACAACGTCCGTGTATTACACGGGTGCTTCCTCATTTTTTTTCTTAAAATCTAAAATTAATGAGAAAAAATAGTTTGAAAATTTAAATACTTTTTATAAAAATATATATATTGTTGTGAAATATGTATTATATAATAATGTATGTGAATGACTCTTTTGTCCCTGATGTAATTGTATTATTACGGTTGTGCCATCAGAAGTTTCCTATAAATAGGAGCTTCAGTTATAATGAAAATTGCACCTAAGAGGATACATTTTCTCTATTCTCTCTCTTTTCC